AAATCCGCCGGGTCCATTGAGCTCGGGCCGGGGCGGATGACGTCGAAGGAGGCACGGAGGCGGACCATCCAGGCGAATCCGCAGATGGTATCAAAAGGAAAAATGCCTGTTGTCCCCATACTCAAAGGGAGATTTGTGTAGCATGATTTGTGATCACAAATCATGCTGTCATGCTAGAACGGAAGAGATGTAGACACTGTAGTGCTGGCTGGCGTGGGGAACACGCCTTGCGTCTTTATCATGACAGGAAGCAACTGGAAACGGGAAGCAGCATGACAATTTGCCTGCAAACGAGGGAGCACCTGCGTCTCTTGCGGCCTTCTAGCAATACAAGTCGACTTCTGGTCACAAATCAGCATCACTAATTTTCTATTTCGATATGGGGTGGCGGGATTTTTCTTCTCAATAGATGGCGCGAAAAAGTTTGCAGGGTGGGGACGAGGTGGACGACATCCGCCCGGCGTTGCTGAAGTTCTGTATGCATTGCAAATATCCCTGGATGTCTGGAAACTTGTGATGCAACAGAGGGAATAGTGAAAGCATTGTAATGCGCTGCCCAGCATGACAAGTTTTGCCGTGGGCCTGAGTTGCGTACCCCGCATGAGAAACTGCGTCTTTGCATGACAGGCAAGAGGAGTTCCTCGCGGCCACGCAATACAGAGTTCAGAGTCATGCCAGACTAGCATGACAAATCTCGCAATCTCCCAAACCCAGACATATTTGCAGTTGATATTCTACGAGTCGTTGCAAAAAAACGGAGAGGGTGGAAATACCAGCGGTTCTTCGTCTAGTAACTTTTTTGGCAGTACTATTGTGAGGAAAAATGTCCCCACCCCATAGTCAAGATGGGAAATCTGCAACACAAACCTGGAAGTTTTGGGAGTCACGCATGACAAGTTCCCCTCTGTATTGTAGTGCAGTTTCGCAAGGACAGCCGCATCACAAAGCCAGCTCCTCATCCTATTTTCAGCATCACAAATTCCAAAACACGATTGGAACTGGCTCTCATGGGTATGCGCATTACAAGTCTTTCTGTCTTCGCAAATCTGCATGACAACTCTAGGGTGGGGATGTTTTTCCACGGGATAAGTACGTCTAGTTCCTCGTCCTCTTCTGAGGATTCGGATTCTGACGCTAGTGTATCAAATGCAACGACGTCTGGGTCTGGAAACCTGTGATGCAAGTCTGCCAGTGATGGGCGCACTGCAATACGCAGCCAAGCATGCCAAGTTTGCGAGCTTCTGTGTGTTGCGCGTTCCGCATGGCAAACTGCGCTTTTGCATGAAAGGCAAAAGGCTCTTTTCCTGCTCATGCATCACAGAGTCAAGAGTTATGTGACGCAAGCATGACAAACTAGCACTCTTCCAGACCCAGACATGGTTGCGATTGATATAGTGGGCACTACTACAATGCGAGAACCGGGAAATCGTCGAAGAAGAAGAAATATCCTGTGCAAAAGTATCGTACTTGTATTGCAATCATGCATTACAAATCTTTTTCTTAAGGTAAATCCGCATTACAAATTTTATTTCTCACGCTGAGGAAATTTGTAATGCAATTATACGAGTGCGATGCTTTTGCAGTTCATAAGAAACTTAAATCCTCCAGCCCATTCACGGCGTACAATTTCAAAAAATTCCGGCGTGCCTCCATAACCGAGCTGGCAAAGAGCTTGTTCAGTCCGACGAGGCGACATGGGGAGTCGGATTTTGCCTACGAAATGGTTTTGAAAGAAACGATATCCATTGCAAATATGTCTGGATGTCTGGAAAGAATGGGATTTGTGATGCTCGCAGTCGAGCATACAAAAATCTGTATTCCGTGAGAGGCAAATAGAGGCGCTCAGATTTTTGTTGCCACTCAAAGAGGGCTTTTCTCATGCAGCATAGGCATGAGCAAACCTTCGCGAAAGCTGTGGCGCTAGAGAAGGCATCACAGGCATCGGAGGCCATGTACAAATTGCATGACAAACTCCCAAAATGATCTTCCAGACCCAGACATGTTTGCATTTGATAAACGAAGATCCGGAAGAAAGCGCATTCCGTTGCGGGTGGGGAACGGGACTTGGACAGGTACGTGCGGCGGGAGCTACACTTGGAACAGGTGAGGGGAGGTACAAGGAGCGGGCGCGAAGGAGGGCTAGTATCCCCGGCAGTGTCACCGCTCATGATAGGCAGCTCTGGTACTTCGTCAATATCAGGGGAGAGCAAGGGAACATCAAACAGTGTAGCAGCCGCACGAGAAGTAGATGAGCCGTCAAAACCGACCAGCAACCTGGCTTTGGCGGTTTTTGGCTCGTCGCGTAGAATAAAATCTTCTTCTTCCGAGGACAAAAAATCCACTTCTCCGGGAAAACAACATTCCGGAAAAGTCACCAAGAACCACCCAGAGCAGCACCAGCAACTGAAGAAGCGTCTTCACCAGGATCTTTACCGCGACCCCCTGTTCTATGGAGAGAAAAAAGCTTGTCACAGTCACTAACGTGCAGGTTTTGCATTACAAATTTTTTCACCATCACAACTCTTCCCTGTATTGCAAAAACGCTAGTAGGGAAGTCCCTTATGAGGTTTGGCTGTGATGTAGTTTTACGCATGACAGAAAGTTTTGTAGTGGAAAAATGGGCATGAGTGATCGGGACGAACTTTTTTTCTTTGATATGTTCACCAGGCGCTGCTCCTCCGCCGCTTTGACCTCGCGGAAGCCGGATTTTTTCCCCAATCTCGAGCTCGCGTGTTTGGCGCTGTCGCGGCGAAGGTGCCAGGCGCGGGTCGTGTGGGAGGCCGAGCAGGAGGAAAAAAGACGGATCGAGGCTGAGGAACAGGCGAGCCTGGAAGCGGAGCAGAACAAGAAAGCGGTACTAGAAAAGAAGCGGCAGTCGTTACTGCAGAAGGGAATGTCGGCGGCAAGGGTGGCCCTCTTGCTCGGGAAGAGCAGCAAGAGTAGCACAACGGCCTCGAAGGGAGCGGCAAGTGAAACGGCGGCGGGGACAGCACCATCGTCGAAACAGATTGTTCCGTCGAAAGGGGTAGCTGCAGGGAAATCTACTTCTGGTGGCGGTAGCAACAATGGAAGTAATACAACTATGGTTCGTCCCAACAGCAGGCAAATTTCCCCTTCGAAACCGGTTCCTGTGTCACCGCCTTCACAATCTCCAGACAGCCCACTTGCGTCGAAGAGTTTGACCAATTTTTCCGCATTAGGAACTGCTGGAACGATATCCTGTGCAAAAGTATCGTACTCGTAGTAATTCTTGCAACCATGCATTACAAATCTTTTTCTTAAGGTAGATACGCATTACGAATTTCATTTCTCACGCTGAGAAAATTTATATTGCATTTATACGAGTACGATACTTTTGCAATGCATAAACGAATCTTCTCAACAATAAACCGCGAACGCCATTGTCTACCAGCAAGGTGTCAGTTAGCATGGCTTTGACAAGTAGTAGCCCACAGTTGTACAGTAATCACAAGCTAAATGACGAACAGAGGAACAGCATCCAATCAGCCTTTTCTGTATCCCCCTCCAAACGGTCAAGTAAGAAAAAAATCGAGAAAAACTACGACCTGCCGTGGCTGCAGGACACGGTGTTATGCTACGTGCTGCCGTCAAATAAAAATTCTTGTGAAGATTACCGGGGACAAGAACTGCGGTCGCTGAATGAAAACCAGCAACAGGTCAACGTCGTGAACAAGTTACTTTTTTCGGATATCCTGAGCAAAAACGCAGTCGTCCACACCCCACAGTTGTTCTCATGCAGGTTTATTCTTGCGTCTACAGCAGGTGGAATCGATTCGGAATGCGCATGATCCCGGCGAGTATAATGAGTAGAGGCATTATTTCTTCTAGAAGGGGTGTAGTTTGTTTGGCACCATAATTTGTTTCTAAATGCTGCAAACAGGTGGAGTGTAAGCTGATTGACTCTGCGATGCGGCTGTCCTTGCAAAAAACCTGCCCTACACGACTTCTACGGACTGCAACTTGCCATGCGTGACTCCGAATAAAGCTTCTAGGTTTGTTGTGTTCCGCGAAATTATCCCCAACATCTTGAAGATTGACTCTGGGCGGGTTCTCGTCGTGGGCGTGGCGAGGTTTTTGATTTTACTCAGGATATCGGACTTACAAGACTCAACTTCCAACGATGTTATGAACCAGGAACACGCGAGGCGGATACCGGCTTTGGACCTCGCTGTGTTCAGCGGTGAAGTGAAGTTTTTGGACTGGAACAGCAATAAGAAAAAACGGTGGAAGAAGTTCAAGTGGTCCGCTTATCCACTGTAAATATGTCTGGGTCTGGAAGGTTGGAACTTGTAACGCTAGCTCTCCATACCTAGAAAATCTGTATTGCAAAGCCAACTACACAAGTCGCAGCCTCTTTTGTACATGCAAAAACGCCGTTTCTCATGCGGAGTTCCTATGAGAAAGTGTTCTGAAAAGTTGTCATGCTGTGTGGCATTCGAAACTGTTTATTCCATCATCCACATGCTAGCATCACAAGTTTCCACGAGACCTAGACATTTTTGCAATGCATACCGGGGGGCGGAACACAAAGATCTGGATGTCGCGGTTATCCAAGTACAAATTCGACGACGACAGCGACTCGACTGACCATCGGAAGGTTTTTATCTTGTGGAAAAATGTCCCCACCCCATAGTTGTCATGCAAATCTGCATGCTTGAAATGTCTCTCATGCGGAGTCCCATGAGACGCCTTTCCTCGTCGTGTTTTGGAATTTGTGATGCTCAAACCAGCATGAGAGTACTAGATTTGTGATGCTGTTGCACTAGATAAACACGATTGCAATGCGAGCCCAAACTTCTCTTGCGTAAACAGCCAAAGGTTGTTGATTTGTCTTGCAGATTTCCCGACTTGACTATGGGGTGGGGACGTTTTTGCATACGATAGTTTTCAAAAAAAAACAGTTCCGACGGGTGGAGAACAGGTTAGAAGAAGTTTACGTGACTTCCAGGACCGCAAGTCCAAATAGTGCCCGAAAGAACTGCGGAGCTGTTTCTGCGGAGACCTTTTTTCAACAGCCGCGGGACGTCAACATGGCGATCTCGTCGATTTCGCCCCAAAAGAAGATGCAGCTGAAAGGCCGAGGAAGTGGTGAGAGTAGCAACGGATCCGAAACAAGTTTGTCTGTCCAAGTCAAGGAGACAGTGGTGAATTTTTTATCTGAAGATGACGGCCCTGCTGCTGAAGGAGATGATGAAAATAGGCTGAGCTTCGCGCATCGAACTACGACCGAACAGGGCCAGCAACCGGAGGACGAGTGTCATCTAGCAGAGGGTATTAAAGATGTCGGCCACGTGGTGAACAACGACCATCAGCAGACGATGTGGGGGACCTCCAAAGTAGAATCTTCTTCGCTCTGTTGTAGTAGAAACACGACCTCCCGCGCCGGCCGGACGGATACGGAAGTAGCCGTAGGAGCTCCGCGACGCACCGTCGGGTTTCGGTTCGCAGACTTTTACAATGACGAAGACGAGATCTCGGTTATCGAAAACGTTGAGGAAGGTGAAAGTTATGGTGACGTGGCGAAAACAAGGCGGGGAAATAAGAACATCAAGGAGAAACACGAAAACTTTGACCACGACAACTACAACAGCCCAAGCGTGTTTGACGAGGTTGAATTTGAGAAGAGTGACCTGTCGCCGTTCATCCTGAACTCATGTAGCGGCCCCGGCACGCCCGCCAGGAGTACTAGAGCAAAACGGGACGACCCGCGGCTGGACACCTTTTCCGCGGAGCTAGATATCCATTGCAAATATGTCTGGGTCTGGAAGGGTGCATGTTTGTCATGCTTGTCTGGCATGCCTCTTAACTCTGTCATGCATGAGTAGGAAATGCACCTCTTGCCTGTCATGCAAAAACGCAATTTACCATGCGGGATACGCAACACATAGCGGCTCAAAAATTTGTCATGCGTGGCTGCATATTCAAGAGCGTCCAGCAATCGTAGACTTGCAACACAACTTCGCAGACCCAGACATATTTGCAATGCATACTAGACCGACGGATCCAAACCGGGCGGTACAGCGTTTCCGAAATCAACTTTTTCAGCCCGGGGATGGGGAAGTTAAACACTGCAAGCGCAGCTGCGGTGAAGAATAAGAGTTCTGGTACTTTATCCGGGTTCATCACTTCTTCGCCGAGAACCAGCAACATTAAAGGACACCAGGTTCCGGACGAAAGTGACGATGAGGACAGGAGCGCAACCTCTTTTTTCTCTGCCTTGAACAAAACCCGCCCATTTGCGGAGGTTAAGAGCAGTTCTTCTCCTACTATGCTTTGCAAATATGTCTGGGTCTGGAAGGATGCAAGGTTTGTCATGCTTATCTGGCGTGACTGAAGGGCTTGTGATGCGTGTCCAAGAAGAGACTCCTTTGCTTGTCATGCAAAGACGCAGTTTGTCATGCGGAAAGCGCAACACTAAGCAGCGCAGATATTTCTCATGCTTGGCTGTGCATTACAGGGCATTCACTATTCCCAACCCAGCATTACAAGTTTCCAGACCCAGACATATTTGCATTTGATACCTACCCCAGCACTACCATTATCTTCCTCCGCGAAAAAGCTACGTCCGGGCTACTGGACCGCGGATCCGGATTTCAACCCCTTGGCGCACTTTCGTGCGCTATCGCAAGAAAAAACTGTTTCACTGTGAACTTGTGATGCAGAGAACCAAGCACCAAGGTGTTTGTCTTGCTACACCTGCAAGACATTGGATTTTGAAGCGTGTTGTCCCTTGGGAAGCGCGCATGGCAAGTTTTTCGCGTCATGTGTAGCGAACTTGTGATGCAGATATTGCAAAATCATCACAGTGAAACAGTTTTTTCGTGGGATATGCACCCCCGGTGGTCTCGAGGGATTTCCGGTCGCAGCAACTACTCGCAGATCCAAGGATCGATTTGGGAGTTTAAAAGGGGCGAGGTGGTGGAGAAATTTTTTTTGGCAGGAATTCAAAAGTCCAGCTAGATTTCTTGCACTGTATATATGAAATTATGATAAGCAATGGTATGAATGATTTCGATTTTCACAAGCAAACGTCGACCCGAAATGAGTAAATTGAGTCCACCGGAGTTTTTGTCAGTATGAATTAATTCATGAAAAGCAAGGTAGGATTAGGAAATCAAATGCATAAAAAATTTAGGAAAAAATGTACAAGAGCGATAAGTTCTGTTGGCGTTTACTTCAGGATCATGTACAACATGTGGCTTCACCTCGGCCTTGTAGGATAAAACTATTAAATTATCAATTTAATACAATACGCCTCAACCAGCACGGAGGGCGCAAGGCCCGAAGTGTAGAAGAGAATTATCTCAACGTTTGATCATCTACATCTTAAGTACACATGAGCAAGCAACAACAATTTCTACCAGCGCGACAAGCCTGTTGACGACAATCTGTAATCGATTCCAGAGCTTTATTTTGGAAGATTTGATGAAAGTGTAAAACTAAAAACCATAGCAGAATCGAAGTAGTTGCGTCCAACCAGGACCGCGATCTGTAAAACTCCATCCGTTAGAAGTGGAAGACTGTTTGATGTTGATCTCTCGAGCGTTGCACGAGCAAAGTGATGATCTGTAAGGATGAGGATGATCATCCATAGGGCATTTCATCTCAAAGAAAAGCGATCCTTGATAGCTCCGATCTGGTGGTCTCTAAAAAGAGCCGTGTGAAGATGATTTTGGTGCTGCAGGAGCGCCTGCCGTGCTTTTGGTCTTTCAGCTTTAAAAATGATCCTGATGCTACATTCCCCTATTTCCACATGCTCCTCCGCAAATATCAGGCTAAGATTGATCGTGTGGATTGTAGTTTTCTCCGGAAAATTATTAAACCAGGCGTGACAAAATCAAAAAAGCAAGAAAAGCTCACTTTTATTAATACGAACATTGTATGATTGCGCCTTTATCCTCGACCTCGACGACTCAGACTTTTTTCTAAAAAGCTCTACAATACATCAAAATCGTTACTCTCTGGCAGCCACCGCTGCGATCCAATCAAACTTATTTTTCAAGAAGAACTATTTGTTCAATTTCGCATTCCTGCATAAGTCTGCACTCCTTTGTGCAAGTACTACTAGAAAATCCTCTATACAAAAATGCTATTCTCGGTGAAGAACAAAAAACAAACTATCGCGGCCGCCGCGGCGCTGCTGACGGGGGGTGGCACCCTTTTTAACGATGCCACAGTCTTATCCCACAGAAAAAAGCTGGCAGGGCATGTTTGTAATGCAGAAATAAATACACACAAAAATCTGTCATTGGCGGCCTCATCGCATGCTGTTTAGGATACGCAATACAGATTTTTTTGTGTATTTATTTTTGCATTACAAATGTGACCTGCCAGCTTTTTTCCGTGGGATAAGTCTTCGTGAACGCCGATGTGAAAGTCTACACGGGCATGGTGGAAGACACGTGGCTATCAAATGTAAAAATGTCTGGGTCTGGAAGAATGGGAGTTTGTCATGCTTGTCTGGCATGACTCGAGAATCTGTGTTGCATAGGGACGTAAAGGCCCTCTCACCTGTCTTGCAAAAACGCAGTTTGCCATGCCATGCGGAATACGTAAGACATGGCAGCCAAAAAATTTGTTATGCATAGCTGCGTATTGCAGTACGTCTATCATTCACTTCTAGCATTACAAGTTTCCAGACCCAGAGATTTTTGCATTTGATATTGGCGTTTTTTTTACCAGCCGGACGTGAAAACGACTTTCAAGCCGTACGACTCCGGGTTCGGGAAAGCGAAAGAACAGCGCGAGCAGGCGATGCTACTGACAAAGGAGGACCAGGGGACGACGAGTGCTGCTCTCACTGCGTTCCTCCCCACCCGCGGCGCAGCCGCTTCTGCTGCTGGTTCTTCCGCGTCTACTACTGAATTGGCGCAGCACGAGCAGCTCGCCGCCCAAGAGGGAGAAACAACGATGCACCTTCGTACTTTCACGGGAAAGAAAGAATGTCGCGAGACACCGATCGATAGGGAGATCGACGGCGACCTCGGTTTGTACATGCCCACGGACCCGATGCGGCTTGATAACCCGATGCAGAGCCACACGGAAGACACTGCTTCGGAATACGTCCGAGAGTGGAACAGCAAGATTGCACATCTTGTGGTATCAAATGAAGAATTCCCCCACGAGCCCAGAATATCGAAGTGTTCTTTATGTAGTTGCAAAAGTTCCCAATGGAAACATTTGCCGCATAGCTTTTACCAGCAGCCCTTTTTACAGGTTGTATTCGAGCAAGAATATTAGCAAAAATTTGTGTAGTTGCAAAAAAGCCCAGCACAAGACTGGCTTGTCATGTAGGAATTCCTGCTTCGCGCGTCTACTGTCTGCATGAGATGAGACTTTGAAACTTCTCGGGCCGTCGTCGTGGGGGCATTTTTTAATTTGATAGGTGGAACACAGTGAGCTTCAGGACCAGGCTGCGGAGCTTCTCGAGCGCCACAGCCACACTGTAGAGCGCCACAGCCACACTGCACAGGACACAGGTACTAGTACCCAAGATGAAGACGGCAGCGCAATGGTTGTTGAGCAAAATAAGTACCTGGTGCACTGGTATCCCAAAAGGGAGAGCAGCCTGAACAAAAACGCAAAGCTAACACCGGGAGATGAAAATGACGAGGAAAAAAACATTCAATTTTTTGAGCCGGTCGAAGATTCCGGGGACGCCACCTTTCCCGTGCAGCAGTGGACGGATAAGAAGTGCACACAGAACACAGTCACGCCGGGGAAAGACATTTTGTTACAGCACGAAATGTATCCACTTTGCAAACAAAGTACTATCGCACTCGTATAATGGCAAGAGTTTTTATCTCGCATGACACATCGAGGCTCCTACCTGAAAAATCGGCATGACAGAAAATCTCGTTTTTGTTCCTTCTCGCAAAAATATTAAGGTTGTGATGCAATTCATACCATTATGGTGCTTTAACTTGTTTTGCAAGGCATAAAATTCTGACACGTGTCATCAAGAAGAACTTCAACATTGAAGGCCCGCTTATCCAAAAAAAAAAAATGCTGTGGTATTTAGTCGCATGACAAATTTGCTTGTCTGGCATGACCACCACGGATATGATTGAATAAAAGAAACGACCTAAGCTTCGTGAAAACACAAGTAAAAGCCATGGCTGCATCTATCATGGCATCATTTCCATTTGGACAAGTCTGACTTTTTCTTTGCATCGTGATCTGCGTAGCGATACAAGGTAGTGCACGACTACTAGTAGACAAAGAACACCACAGCCTGATTTTCCCCTCCATACCGGTGGCTTTGACGCTGGTCCGCAGCGCCAAGGTGGTGACGGGGAAAAAGTTTTATGTAGGCACCCTGTTCGAGCTGAGGGAGCAGGTGCTCGTGCATGGTGACCAAAAATCTTCTGCTTCTGACACTACCAAGTGGGAGGAGCTCGGTATCACCTCTGTGGTCGGGCTCGAGGACGAGCCGAGCTCTCAGGAGGTGCAGATTTTCGGGGAAACTTCCCAGGAAAAGCCGTCCTGGACGGGGAAAATGGGGCCGGACAACACAGAACCGTACGTGTTGTATTTTATTCAAAACAACAAGAAAGACGACAAGGCTGCTCCGAAGAAGCCCATGCTGACGTCGTTGAGTCAATTTACCACCGCAGGCGGCGGGCGCACGCTGACGGGGGAAACATCAATCTGAAAGAGGACGGCTAGGGTAGAGTGATGAACTACTTATCGGGAGCTAAGTAATAATGCGTTTTTTATTACACGACCCCGTTAGGGTGATAGAAGCCGTCATCTTCCTGTTTGTCTGTTGATCTTCCGCTAGTTCGATGCAAGATTTGCTGAGCTGTAAAAATGAAAATAAGTTTTCTTCCATGTTGATTATGTATAGATCGTTCGCTATATTATTCGCAACACGGTTTATATATCTCTATCCTTTGATAACACTATCCACGTGTTTTCTAGGACAACTTTTTGGACTCAGACTAATCAGTCGCCGTTCTGAAAAGAATGCATACAAAGCAGGCTGGTGAAAAATGCTTGCTGTTTGCAACCGAAAATTACTTTTTCAGGAAAACTTCTATCTACAGGAAGCTGTTGTGGTGCACACTGCTGTGTACTACTAAACTTTTTGTAGTGTGCAGGTTTTTTTTTTTATATGTGGGGAGAAACCACGCAAGATGGTGGAGATGCTGGGCGAGAATTCGTGCAACCATTGCAACATGCAGTTCTGCAGCATAATAATGGTAAAAACAACGAAGAGCGGATGCAAGTGCAAGAAAGACACTAAGCTGCACGAGCAGCTGCGATGTGTCTTTTGTTTGCGCACAGGAACAATAACTTGAGATGTAGTTTTGGACCCAAATGATGTAGTAGCTGCGAGAAATAGCAAAGCGCTACCTTTTTTTAGTCATTCGAACTTGACTAGTTTTGGTGATGAAAAAAGTTTTGGCGATGAAAAAAAACTACGTTGCTGCAGAGTGCCACGGGGAGGTGCGACGGCACTTCACCTGGAATAAAACCGCGGTTATTATATGGTGCCTTGAAACGTGACAGTTTTTGTTTTTTGTTCAAAATCAAACATGATCAAAGGTAAACTCACGACAACGAACTCGGTCGCAGTGCTACTGGAAGATATCCTGTCAGAAGCGCGACTGTTTGATCTATAACAGGCGGGTCAAAAACCTGAGCACGGGGCTCTGCGACCTGTATAATTACTAGAGACACGAAGACCTCCACGACGACTAAAAGGCCCTTTATTATCCAAAAACGACGATCCTGGACTCCGATCTGATAGTCAAGCCGTATCATGATTTTAGGTCTGTAGGAGCGCCTGCCGTGCTTTCTTATAGGTTTAGGTCAAAGCTTATACAAAAAGCATGTTACTTATTCATTTTTCCCACATATGTCATCTTCAACCAGGCTATCTATTTGTAGTTTGTAGTTAGTTTCTCCTGAATCAATTATCTGGCGTGACGAGGACAAACAAAGAGTTCATTTTTTATACATTAGCCTCTTGTGCTTAAAAAATAAAAAATTCAGACTTTCACCCGTAAAAACTATTCTCTTGTGTACAATTATTATACTTACTTCTTTGCGAAATCGAACAAGATGACCATGAGCAGGAAACTGTTCGTAAAGCCGCTCGCGGCCGCGGGTGCCCTGGCGGTCCACCTCTGCGGTTGGAACGGTCCCGCGTTCTTGTTTGTGAATGCCGAGGTCGAGATTTACAATCACATGGTGGAGGACGCGTACCGCTTCCTCTACGTTCCCGATCCGGACACCACCACCTTCAAGCCCTACGAGTCCGGGTTTGGGCAAACGGACGAGCAGCGCGGTGCGCAGCTGCACCACTGGACCACGCCGGAACAAGACGTTATTTCCCAAACTACCGGCTTTCTCACCCGGGAGGAGCACGGAGCTGGTAGCAGCGCTAGCGGTGCTCCTGCTCCGTCGGTTCTTGCAGCTGGTGGTGAGATCGACATGAACCTACGGACCTTCACGGGCAAGGAAGGCACCGAGCAGGCAGTGAAAAAGCGGATCAACGGCAACCATGGTTTGTTCATGCCCGTGAACCCCATGGTTATCACCGAAGAGATATGACATGAGTGCACAAGTTGTAACCCCGTCAACACCTCATTTGATGTATGGCATGAACAGGAATACAAACACCAGCATTTTATTTCCGTGGAGCCTGTGCATGACAATTTCACAGGCCGAAGGCAGTAGCTGTTTATGCTTGTGAAATTTGTTCGGCATGACAAAGGCAGTAGCCGTAGCAGTCTGTTCGGCATGAAAGGCAGTCTGTTCGGCATGACAAATAAGGGGGACGAGGGGGACGTCGCCTTGTGCACTCTCATACGAGACAAAGAAGAACGCGGAAGATGCGGCAATGACGTACGTGAGGAAGCAAGGTGAGGCAGGAACTACAACCCTAACTGAACAAGACGCACAAAGCCAGGCAGCCGACCTCCTCGAGCGTCACACTGTAGCTGACTCGAAGAAATTTCACCTCGAAGAAAGCCAGGCAGACTCGAAGAAATCTTACCTCGTGCATATTACAATGAAAAATGCCCCCACCCCCGAACTTTGGAGCATTTGTATTGCAAACCTTTGCAAATGAAACATTTGCCCTCTTGCATCTATCAGCATCACAGGTGTCCAATCGTGAATAGCAAAAATTTGTATTGCAAAAGACCCCAGCAAGAGTGGCGCTTGTCATGCAAGCGACGCGATACAACACGCCTAGACTCTGCATCAGAAAGATTCATACTCCTTTCATGCATGGCAAAAAGTTTTCATTTGGAAACTTCGCATCACAAATTTTTGCAACTTTGGGGGTGCGGGCATTTTTCACTGTAATAGTACACTGGTGGGGAAAGGACAAGAGCAGTTTGGAGAAAAAGCAGAAGCGTGAGGAAAAAGACCGCAACGACCCGGAGATGAACATCCAGTTTTTCACGCCTCAATTTCTGGATGACGGTACGAATGATATTCACTGGTATGACTCGAAGATGGAGGAGCAATTGAACCCGCAGTACGTTGACCGACATTTGGTCGACATTAAGCTGCAGTACAACATTTTGACGACCGCCATCAGGAAGAACTTCAAGAATAGCGACGAGGAAGAGCTGGGCCTATCCAACGCAAATCGATATGAAGATCTGGGTCCTGCTCTGGAAATCGAATAATACTTGTCATGCTGATTATACTTACATGCGTCCTCACAAAGAGGACAAACTTCACTGATTCCAATACGCAGCGGCCACGCATGAGAAATTTGTGAGCGGTTGGAGTCGTCGTGCGTAAGAACCCGCGTGACTGAGAAATCGCGTTTTTGCACGACAGAGGGTTACTTATTTCAGCTGGCGCTATTCCAAAACATGCATCTACTTCTTCACAGAGTTCTACTTCAGGGGTAAGTACTTACGTATTAAATGCGGGAACAAGTTCAGCAATACTATGCAAAAATTTTCCAGACCTCCCAGACAAATTTGTTTCCTGTTGATGACCACCAGACTGGCACGTCCCGTTGACCTATCAAATGCAAAAATGTCTGGGTCTGGAAACTTGTGGTGCTAAAATGTGCATGATGAAAACACTTCCTAACGCAGTCCGGCATGACAACTTCCCAAAACGCTTTCCCATAGGCAATCCGCATGAGAAACTGCGTTTTTGCATGACAAAAGAGGCTGCGACTTTTGTTGGTTATGCAATACAGATTTTCTAGGTATGGAAAGCCAGCATTACAAGTTCCAACACTCCAGACCCAGACATTTTTACAATCCATATGACCCTGGTCCGCAGTGTGCGGGAAGACAAGAAAAACGTGTATTTGGTCGGCACTTTGAAGGAGCTGGCGGACTATCCGGTGCAAAAATATCGTACTCGTATAAATGCAGGTCTTGCATTACAAATATTTTTCTTAAGGTAAATCAGCATGACAAATTTTATTTTTCATGCTGAGAAAATTTGTAATGCATTTATACGAGTACGATACTTTTGCAGTCCATACGGACTTCTTCGGAGCGAGTGGCGACGAGACCACCACTAGCAACCGAGTTGCGGACGAGGTCGACCAAGAACGGTACAAGCAGGAGCTCGGCATCAGTCACATTTGCCTGACCACTTCTTCGCCGGTTTCTGTCCAGGAGGACGTGACCACACCTTCTTCCGGGGATCATGTCGGCGGCTCGTATGATCGTACACTGAAGATTTATGGCGAGGATGCTTCCTCCACCGGGTTTCTCGGACGCGCCACTTCGATGTGCGGCTCCCGGGTGGAGCAGCGCGGAAACCCGCCGCGCGGGAGAAAGCCTACTGTGGAGGCCAAAGTCGTTGATACATCGACCGAAAAGTACGTCCTCTACGCCATTCAGAACCGGAAGGGCGCGCCGAAGAAACCCATGCTGACTCCGCACGACATGTTTGTGAAAGAGAGCGGCACGCGGACGCTGACGTGGGACGAGGAAGCGGCGAACCGACGCGGTACAACTGGTGGCTGCGGTATTCAGTGAGCTCTGTGCCGTGGTGCAACGAAAATCTTCGTGATTTGTGCCGCAGCAGGAGTACTTTCTCATCTGCTAGGTGTGCTAGTACCGTAAAGAGTAACTCATTTTTAACACCGTCTTTCATCTCGTCACCTGAGTTGCTGGAGCTGGTGAGGTCTTCTCATTGTTTCGATGTACAGACCCTGCCCTCTGGCGGCGCAGAGAGTAGGTCGGTGTAGAAGTACTCTTGCAACTACAAGGAGTACTAAAGCTACTGCTGTACAACTGAGTCAACCTCAACAATTTAAAGAGAACGAATAGGACCTATTGATTATCATGGGTCCTCGTTCAATACTTATCTCGTTGAACCGAATTTTTTACCACAACAACATTGAGCACATTTAGCACCACATTTCATCGGCCACCATTTTTTTGCCACCACATTTAGAAGCACCACATGAGAGTAGTTGCAGCACGAGGACCAATGCGCCGGCGTGTATATAAAGGGAGTTCTTGTCCGAGGATTTCCCAGGAGGTAGAGGTGCAACCTCTTGTTTTACCTCAAAAAAATCGTGCCAGCAACGTGACTTCTGTTGCAGCGAAGTGGCTTATAAGAAGATGCACAAGTAGGTACAGGTAGCACAGGTAGCAATAGCAGTACTCTACCAGTGTCTATTATAGGTATGGTTTTGGACGATAATGCAAATGCACTGGTGCGCGTGCATCTGCATCCTTATGTTACCCCGCGCTAGTACCTCTGGTGATGCGGAACCAACCGGCTTGACACTGAGAGTGAAATCTGGCACCAGGACAACATAATTGCCGCATCTGAACATCAAAAACCGCCTTTTTCCTACAAGATCTACCATTTTTCTCCACACGCAAACGCAATAAAAAACCTTCGCCTCTGACAGGCCTCATGACAAGTACGAAGACGTTTCTTCGTAAAACTGGAACAATTTTCAGGTCAAAGAGGAAAAGCCTCGTCGAGCACGGCGAGCAGCGAAGCTGCAGGCTTGCCTTAGCTTTGACGTGTGCCCAAGATCGTATCTGAAGACACACGTGTCAAAAGCAAGAAGCTCCTGCATAAATTTGACATCAGCCGAGTGTTCTCGGATCGGATGTTCTTTGATTTATTGTGAACAAGGAAGAAAAAGCAGCAGCTGTTCCTGTTCCTCATTATTTTCAACTTTTTTATGTCAAAGTTCGTGAAATTCCGTTTATTCTCATTGGAAATCAATGCAGTGTTGCGATCGAGTACGAGTTTAGGATAATGCCAGTTAATTGCCCTTGTCTAGTACACGGCTATGCCGATTATAGTATCAGCACGAAGAAAGAACGATCAGCAAGACGGCCCCGATGGAGGAACGCGCATTGATGGAGCGTAGCGAAGGTGTAGATCAGACAGCCAGCTCGAACTGCGGATTTCTGTGGCCCTAGAGGATCTTCGAAAATAAATTGTAGTGGTCTAGGAAAGCATAAGCATAGGCAAATCAGAGCCATTCTCTTCACAGTTTTCCCGCACGTGGACAAACATAAAAATGGAAGCTTGAGCTGCACCCTCTTTGTTTCTTTTTCAAAGACTTCTGAAAATGATTTTTAATAGCAGTAGATGGCAGCGACAAAGTAAAGTAAGAGTCATGGTCTCACGTACTATAGCGATTCATCGCATACATTGCGTTACCACAGTTTAATAGATAAAGCGACTTTTGCCATTGACCAAAGCATCTAGATCTACGACGACACCCACTCCTAATAGTGTGAAAATAAGCGAAAAAACTTTTAAAAGTAAACTGCGTTATCGCAACTTTTAAAAGTTCGTCCCTTCGAAGATACGTCGGAAATCGAAATTTCACTTGTTGCCTGCGTTTATTCCTGAGAAGCCCTTTTTTACTTACTGTTAACGCCTCCTATAATCTTACCCAACCATGTCGGTGCTCCAGCGCATTGCAGACATCGAGAATGAGATGGCCCGGACCCAGAAGAACAAGGCCACCAACGGCCATCTGGGTCTGCTCAAAGCCAAGCTCGCGAAGCTGCGCGGCGAGGTGATGGCTGAGGCCTCGAAATCCGGCGGGGGCGGCGGCCAGGGCTTCGAGGTAAAAGCGACGGGATACTACAATGAAAAATGCCCCCACCTTGTATCAAAACGGAAATCTGTGATGCAGATTTGTGATCACAAATCAGCATAGTCATGCTACCAGGGAAAAGATGTAGACACTGTAGTGCTGGGTGGCGTGGGAGAGCCTTGCGCCCTCAGCATGACAGGAAGCAGCTGGAAGTGAGAAACAGCATGACAAATTGCCTGCAAACGAGGCGACAACTGCGTCGCTCGGCCTTCTAGCTGCAATACAAGTCGATTTGTGTACTCAGATACAGTATCACAAACTTCGTTTTCGATATGGGGAGGGGGGATTTTTCCTTTTGATACGGGAAACGCGCGCGTGGGATTGATCGGATTCCCCTCCGTCGGGAAGTCAACACTGTTGAACCGGCTCACCGGCGCGGAGTCCGAAGTCGCATCGTATAATGATGTTTTTTGTGGTTTTGATTGGATGTTGTTCATGGTGTGGTGTCTGTTGTAATATGTTCTACGGTTTGTATATTATATGCAAAGTACTAGTACTAGGGTGCTTTCTATTGCTTTAGTTTCCTATGAAAATCGGTATGCTAGTAATCTGTTCCTACTAAATCAGATACGAGTTCACGACGTTGACTTGTATCCCGGGCACGTTCACGTACAAGGGCGCGAAGGTGCAGGTGCTGGATCTTCCCGGAATTATCGAGGGCGCAAAGGACGGGAAGGGGCGCGGTAAGCAGATTATCTCCGTTGCCATGACCTGCTCCTTGATACTCGTGGTGCTGGACAGCAGCAAACCCTGGAGCATACGGCAGAAAATCGAGAAGGAGTTGTACGGATTTGGCATGCGGCTAAACAAAGCGCGACCAAACATAACAATTGTGAAAGGGGATAAAGGTATTAAATGTTATGTATTACGGTATACAATTACTTACCACGCATGACAAATTCACTGGTTTTGATGCTTATTGAAATCATTTTCAATTTTATCTTCCTCTTCTTCACGCATGACAGCTTTCATCTGAAGCATGGTACTGACGATAATTGTTCTTGTTTAGTAAACGACGCAGTGTACTATGACAAGGACTACTACACGACGCAAAATTATTCCCCGGCCGACATACTAATTGAATTTGTCAAAACCATCAAAAGGTGGTATCACGGTGAATGTGAAGCAGGGCTGCGAACTGATTGACACCGACATCGAGACGGTGGCCCAAATTGCGAAGGAATACAGGATAATAAACGCCAACATCCACATTGCCTGCAACGCAACCATTGACGAGGTCATTGACGTGTTTGAAAACAACCGGAAGTACGTTTCCTGCCTGTATCTGATGAACAAAGTGGACCTGATATCACAAGAGGAGCTCCAGCTGATGCATGAGGATCCCAACATGGTGCCCATCTGCGCCAGCGAGCAGTGGTGTCTGGACATGCTCATCGAGTATTTCTTTTCATAAATCCACTTTATTTATTATTTTTCTACCAGCAGCAGCATGACAAATTCACATTTAGCCGTTCTCATTTTTCTTTTTTCTTTCGTTTTATTTACCCCCTGTCCCTTTCTATGCACCAGCACCACTATAAAAATCAGGCGCATGTGGCGACGCATGGACCTTGTCCGTTGTTTCACGAAGCCAAAGCAGTGCAACCCGGATTTCTATCCTGTGCAAAAGTATCGTATTCCTATGAATGCAAGTCTTGCATTACAAATCTTTTTCTTAAGGCAAATCCGCATTACGAACTTTATTTCTCATGCTGAAGAAATTTGCAATGCATTTATACGAATACGATACTTTTGCAGTTCATAATTTCGCCGAACCGGTCATTTTGAGCAAGAAGCACCGACGGGTAGATATCCTGAGTGAAAACGTCCCCACCCCAGAGTTGTCATGCAGATTTGCAATGACAAAAACATTTGTGATGCGCTTCTCCATGATAGGCATTTCCAGTCGTGTTTTGGACTTTGTAATGCTGTAAACAGGATGAGCAGACTCATTTGTAATGCGGCTGTCCTCGCCAACCTGCACTACAATACGGACTGCAACTTGTCATGTGTGACTGCCAAAGCTTCTGGATTTGTGTTGCGAGATGCCGCCCATCTTGACTATGGGGTGAGGATGTTTTTACATAGGATAGGAGAGGACTTCTGTTTGAAAATCCACAAGACCCTCCTCGAGCAGTTCAAACACGCACTGGTGTGGGGTGCCATATCAAATGCAAAAATGTCTGGGTCTGGAAACTTGTGATGCTGGGTGGCGTATCATGAGGAGGCCACAAGTGCTGGCTCAGCATGACAAGTTTCTGAGCTTCTAGGTGTTGCCTACTCTGCATGACAGACTGCGTTTCTGCATGACAGAAAAATGGGACTCTGGCCGAACGTGCATGACAGATTTAAAGAGTCATGCCAGACAAGCATGCCAAACATGCACTCTTCCAGACCCAGACATATTTGCATTTGATATGCCAGCACGAAGCACAACCCACAGACCGTCGGGAAGGACCACCTTCTGGAAGATGGAGACGTGGTGGAGATCGTGAAGAAAGTGGGGTGAGGGAGAAAGCGGTTTAGTGAGGCCGACAGCGTGCTGGTGCTGACAGGAGGTAGTGTTCAGTTTCCACGGTCGTCGTGGTCCCTGGGTTTTTGTCACCTGTTCCACAGTCTCGTCCTCTTGCGATACAACTAGGGTCTTCTCTACCTTCTGCGATGCGACTGCGACGAAGGGAAGACGAGCAGGAAGCAGTAATTCACTTCTCGTGCTCAAAGTTGGAAGTAAACCTCTGCTCGAAGCAAGATGTGATGGGGTCAGAACACCGCGAAGAACACTGATGACACGGCGACGTAGTAAGAAGTAAACTTGCTTCTGTACCATCACATGCAGATGATGGATGCTTTTGCTTCAGCTTCTGCTCACATGTGGAAGAATCTATCACCAGTCGTGAATGAAAAACGGTGTCGTTGCTCCGACGTGCTGCGGCTCGTTAGCTGAAATGTCGCACCAACCTATACGCTCATCTACCTTCACGCATTAGAAGAAGATCATCGCTTAGCGCGAAGTAGAACAAACTCTGAAACAAGAATACCCAAGCTAAAATCCGAGCTGCTGTAGGAAAAGTATTTGGCAAGCGGATGTTGAAAGTTACACCACTGTTCTTCTACTCTACGCTGGGTCTAATGGAGCGACGGCGCTACAAAGTTTGAGGGAACGCACTGCTCTTATGTTTCTTTCGGGTTCAGCTTCAGCAATGAGCAGATCGGAAGGGTTCTTGCCGACGCTGAGTTCATTTGTAGTCCAGGTTGGTAGACCAGCACGAATAGAAGGCGCTCGTTCGGTTTCCGCATTTTCGTTGCTGGTCGGTTCCGAGTGCACTAGCGAGATGAGACCACATGTAGAAGCAGGAGCGATTTGTTCCCGGGATTCGTCATTAGCATTCGCAACGACGAAATTTAGACGTGAAGATGGAAACGAGAATTGAGAGCGATGATGAAAGCTAGTCCCTAGTAAATCGAGAACGAACTTTGGACACGTGAACAGGCCCCATTTTTAATCCTCTGCGCAACGCCCCACGCAGGATAGATGATGATGACGATCATGATGATCAAATCGTATGAGAAGCTTTTTTCTGTCGCTGTAAGTATGGAAAGATTCTTATGCCGAACTGTCTCACCCCGACCCCGCTCGTACTAAGCCGGGTTTTCTACAGTGAACAAAACGGCTGATGTATTGGGTGGTAGCGTGTTTCGTGAAAACAACAGCCATATCAAAACAGAAATGGCAACTGAGTCACGGATCCTCACCCTGCGGAACCTCGTTTCCGGGAACGAGCTCGAGTTCGACCTCGGACAAGAGCAGCAATTCATCTCGATAGACGATTTGAAGCGGCTGATTGCCAAAGCGGACGCGAAAGACCGGAACCAGGAGGACCCTGGGCTGTACGCATACCAACGCGTGGAGATCTGTGTGCGCGAAGATCGAGAGCACCTGCTCCTGTCCAGCTGCCTGGCGCCCACCCAAGCGGGAGATGACGCAAAGCCTCCTGTTACGGACGACGGCGCTGGCACCGAGCTGGAGGGCAAGGAGAGCAGACCGTATGCCGCTCCGCCAAGCGGTGACAAGGAAGATGCTGACTTCCTCGTGATGGCCGAAACAGACCGTGATATGCCGGAGGACCGGAAGGACAGGATGTCCGATGCGGACAGCAACAGCTTGTCTGCCCGTTGCAGCGAAGAGAACGTGGCCTACCGGCACCTGCTCGTCGAGTATGATCGGACCGCGAAGTCGCCGGACTTTCTCATCAATGTGGCGGAAGCACTTGCTGTCGAGGACCCTTTCAAGTTCTACTTGCTGCCCAGCGAACCCTTTCCCGACCGGGCCACGCTGGACGATGCGGTGATCGCCCTGGCGGGATGCTCCTTCTCGCCGCGCGAAGGTGATCCTTTTTGGGAGGGTTTTTTTCGAGCGTTTCCGCCGGGAACCACCGCGGAGGAGATCCAGAATGAGTCGCGGGCCCACCTCCGCGAGATCGTCTGTGTCCGCGGCCCCTTTGTGTCTTGGAATGTTTCGCTCGTGCCCGATGTTTCCGAGCTTTTCCGCCCGCTGCCTTGGTTCAACGAAAACATTGCAGACTGGCGGGTCGGCGGGTGCACGAGGATGACCTCGCTGTTTGATCAGTGCTCCGAATTCAACAGTGATATCTCGCACTGGGACGTCAGTTGCGTGACAGACATGAGTTACATGTTTGACAGCTGCTCTCGCTTCAACCAACCCATTGGAAGCTGGAACGTGGCGAACGTGCAGCGGATGGAGTCCATGGTACTGCATAAAAAATCTGGCTCTCGTCCCGCCACTACAACTGTCTGCATAATGGAGATAAGTACTGCTAGACAAAGTTTTTCGTCATCTTGGTACGCTTGATCATACTGTTTGAAGCACCACTGAGTACATCACAGTGCCAATCGGATGAACAAGTGAGTGGTATTAAGTCCCTCTAGTAGCGGACGGGCTTCTCTTCCATATCTTTTCGCAAAGTGTAGGGAGTTCGACCAGCCGCTGGGCGGCTGGGACGTGTCGAGCGTACAGACGATGACCAGCATGTTTTACGACTGTGTCAAGTTCAACCAAGACTTGAGTTCTTGGGACGTGCGCCGGGTGCGGGATTTCAGTTACATGTTCAATGGGGACCACCTCGACTCCTTGCCCTTCGATGGTGACATCAGCGGGTGGCAGGTGCACGAAAATGCAAATGTTTTCCGGATGCTAATTCGGTGTGCCAACTTCTCCCACACTTTGGCGCAGTGGCCGCGGCACCAGCGTGAGAAGGTACTGAAGGACCTTGCCGACGCACAAGAGTGGCTCCGCAAGCAACTCGCACAAGCACTCCAAGATGAATCATGATCAGTGAGATGTGTGATGATGTCCCAGCTCGCAGTCACGAACTGCAGCCGGTGTGGGGTGTAGTGGTTGATTGTGATATAAGAAGTTCGATCCCGAACGAAGAGAGAAGTTCGAAGATCCCGAACGAAGAGCAGCAAAATTTCATGTTCTGGACACGGTGAATCACTTGCCGCGAAGGACAAATAGCATTACTTATACCACAGTACTCCACGAAGCCCACTACACGCACAATGAGATTAGTCTTGCGACCAGGAGTTGATGAAAATGATGGTGGTACTTAAGCACAGTTGTGTCTGGGATTTGATGCCATTGTAGTTCTACTTTTCCATTGACGGATTATCGGGCGATAAAAGCATCAAATTTATTCGTTGAAAAGCGCATGACAAACTACGTCATCTTTCTTGTAGTTGTTCCTCTTCTAATGCTTTTACGCTGCTGCGCCGAGAAGAGACACGGACAAAACAGCAGCAAGGCTGAGAGAATTCAGAGCCAGGGAACTGCGAGCACCTATTCATTGTGTGCGCGTTGAGTTTGACTTTGAAACCTATCCGCGCTTTATTGTGTTGTTGCGAAACTGGAGCTTGAGGGCAATGTATGAAGCTCGCTTCTTTCGTTTCTTCGTGCGTGGTAAATCTCGTTGCGATATCAGGTTGCACAACAGGTAATCCGGGACTTGAGAAGTTACGTCGCGTAGGCGTCTCGCACCATTCGCCAAAACAAACAGCGGAATCAAAGAGGGAAGATTTTTTTGTCTAGGTATTGTGGGACGAGACCAGACATGATGGCGACGCCGCATTACTCCGAACTGTGCCTCCAGTTCTAGCGCCGAATCGTGATCAGCGGTCAGCGGCTTCCAGCAGCGTTCCGGGGCGTTGGAGGTGGTCAAGCTGCGCCGGGCCGACAGTTTGGTCCATTTTATGGAGCCGCAGCGTATGGGCGCGCCGAACATGGAAAGGGCCGGCCGGGCCGGCCCCACCTCGAAGCCCCGCGGTGCTTATTGGCCCGCCTTGGCCGCGCCGCGGGCGCTTTCTGCGAGGGCGCGCGCGGCGTCACGGATCCAGCGGCGCGCGCTTTGGGCTCCCTCCCCTGCCACCCGGCCGGCCACTGGGGCGCGCGCTGGCTGGCCGTTACTCTAGTCACGAGCGGGGGCCGCGCTGCGCCCCCCTTCCAGTACCTTGGCTGCCGTACGATGTGCAGCCGCCCCGGGCCGACTTCGTGGTCTACGGGGCCCCGCCCTGCTGCGTTGCTTGCGATGCGCCGTCCGGGCGGGTCGCGTGGCGTTCGTACAGTCTGCGCCGGGCCCATTGTTGCCCCGGGCCCGCGGCTGCTCCGGGCGTGGGCGGCGCCCAAGGCGTGCCGCTTCAGTGTTACATCAATGCGGAACATGGTTAAAAATCTCCGGTAGCGCGAAAAACGTAGGCGCCCCGCTACCAAGGTTGCTCCTTCTTGTCCTGATGTTCTGTTGCTTGGCTATTGTTTGTTGAGCGAAAACAAGACAACACTTGTCCTTGCAATCAGTTTCTGGCAAAACCAGTAGAAGCCGTATTTGCCTGCGCGCGCATTGTCATCTGTGTTGAGTGATGTTTTTAACGTTCTCTGCTGTCGCCAGATTGGAGTTTGCTGTATTGAACCAGTCCTGAGCACAAAAAGGGTTGAGAGACGACATGTGCTTCGTGGTTGCTTTTTTTACCCGAGTTGCCGTATTTAGCAGACGTATTCTGGCTACCCTCCTTTAGATTTTTCCGCAAAGGGTAACAACGCGCGGGTAGGCGGCGGAACGCTGCCGAATCTGCGATCTTGCAAGCGCCCCCTGGCGGTGCCTGGAAAGGCGGCGTGACCTGCGAATTAAGTAGCGGGTGGGTCCTGCGGGTGCACGCACGAGGAGCTAATCACTCTGACGACCGCGTGTAGCTTGTCGGGCGCATGTCGAGTTGCCTGGCGGACCCGCCGGCTTCTCATCCTCTCGCCCTGGCAGTCCGCGTGCTTTTTCTAGCAGTCTTGCGGCTGTCTGTAAGTGCAACAGAGTGGACGAGGAACCACCGTAGAGGAGATCCGGAACGGATCGCGGGCCAGGCCCCGCGAGATCGTTCGCATCCGCGGCGCCGTTGTGTTTTGGAATGTTTCGTGTGTGCCCGATGTTTCCGAGCTTTTCTGCGAGCGGGCTTGGTTTGACGAAAATTGGTGTCATCTTCAAAGACCGTCACCTTTTCCCCGAAAATTGGTGCCGTCTTCACCTTTTCCCCTAGTTGGGTTTTCGTTTCGGCCGCTAACGTCGGCGCCGTGGTCACTAGGAACATTATGGGCCTCGCGCGTTGAGAATGTCTTTTCTTCAAGCGGCCGCTTTTTGACGTTCAAAGTTTTCATCCAAAATACTCCAAAATGATTGAACGAGAATAAGGACTTGTTCACCTGAACCGCCTATACAGTGGAGAACGAATGCTGTGAAAGCGATCTAGAAATGGTTTGGTGATCATGATATCAGAGCGCAGTTAAGTGCGGCTAGGATCCGGTACTGCTCATCTTCGATCCGTGATGAAATACTACCCGCTTTCCTTCGTCTATTTCAATGTCATCGCACCGTAGGATCAATCATCGTGTAGTATACCTTCGTCGACTGCGTTCGATGTTTGAAAACGAGAGAGAGCGGTATTCGTTGGGAAGAATTATTAAACATTTTTTGTGCCTCGCCGCACAACTGGTTTTGTCTTTGATCGCAAGGGTCGTATCGTGCCTCGTTACGCTTCGTCAACGACAACGTCGTGTGTGCGCCGTTTTTACGACCCAGTAAGGTTCCGCAGATATCGGCTGCCGTGGCTGCCCGAAACCGCCTTCCTGTGCACTCCTTCACACGCCTCGACGTTTTCAAAAAAGTAGAAGGTGCTCTTTTTGTTGATCGTCTTCGTCGCAACCGTGGGCGAAATCATACAGTAGAGAAGATAGAAGCGGTTTATTGTCCGTTCGAAGACAGAAGCAGAACTGTAAAAAGATTGAGACAGCATCCACACCCATTCAGCGCTTCTCAACATCAACTACTTCGTTACAATGCCTGACGAACAGGTGCAGAACCCGAGCCCTGACTCAGGGAACGATCCGTGCGAGGAGGCCACGGTACCCATCACGGACGAGCGCGTGAAGACGCTTGATGACTCCGGGAATAAAGCTCAGGACAATAATGCTACGCTACTCGTGGCAGAGGCGGAGGCGGACGAGCACGTCCAGACGATTGACTCCACGAACGATCAAGGTGATACTACGGGGCACACCCCCCGTGCTGACGCGGAGCGAAAGTCGCAACCTTCTCCACGACAGGACTCAGATCTGCCCGACACATACCACGAGCTTCTCCGCGAACTCGGCCGGCGGGGGTGGAACTTCGCAAAAGACTTTTTGCAAGCCCGTTTAGACAGCACGAATGCCGAAGAAAGACAAAGCTTGTTGAAGACGATGATCACATGGACAGGTATTCAGTATTGTTGTTCGTCGATCTCCGTATGTAAAGTATAATGATGGTGTTCGGATGCGGAATTTCCTTTTATTTCGGTGGCGCATTTGTTGATTGTGTATGTAGATTCCCAATCCAACTCCACCACGACAGGAGCTGACCCCAACAGCGAGGAAAAGGACACGGAGCTCATTTTGATGCCGGACGGTTTCTATGGCGGCACGCTCAAATTATCCAAATGAGCAAGTAATGTTCTCCTAGCACGACGACTTCTTCCTGTGCAAACGCAAAGGAATAGCGATCACGTCATTATTTCCTATTCCTTCTATTTGCAGAAGCAGTTGTAGTTCCTCTAAAGGTATATACTGTTTCATTAGCCCAGTGAAGAGCTCGTAGGAGAACATCATGATTTCGCTGCATACTCGCGGGAGGATGAGATGTACATGGCCCTGTGGAAGGCGTTCTCCCGGGAACGGAACTTTAATGCGGACCGCGAAGGAATCCAGCCCTTTCTGCCAGGAAAACGGCTGTTCGTGAGAAATTTGATCCGAGCACGGGCGAAAGTCAAGTCGATGCGTTCGATGGACGCGGAGGATGTGCAGAAAACGATGAACAAACTCCTGCTAAACCAGCAAACAATAATGCAAGGTGGGCGGCTGGTTAGCAGAGAACAATCGGACATCGCAGAAAACGTGCGGGAAATTCTGGCGATCGCGAAGTCGAGCAACAGCGCCTCATCGAGTAGGACAGCGTCCACGGGGCGGGCATCCTCGGAGCCACCGACAAAAGACGACTTGGCGAAGCAACAGAAACTACTGGAACAAATTTTTGAGCTGTTGACCACCCCATCCACCTCATCCAAAAACGCACCAAACGATAATCAAGAGGACAAAGCGAGCCAGCAGAAGACACTGGATCAGATCCTGGAGCATTTCGCCAAAATGGCGGAAAAGTTGGATCAGGTTGCCGAGAAACAGGACACGCTGGCCGGGAAACAGGACACTCTTGCCGGGAAACAGGACACTTTTGCCGGGAAACAGGACAAACACAGCAAACTGATCCAAGGCGTGAACGGTAATGTCGTGGAAAGCAGCGTTGAGCACATGGCAGTGGCGAAGCGAGCCGAAACTTTTCTGAAGAACATCATCGGACAGATCTGTTGGGGCAACCGCTGAATGCTGAAAAAAGACCTCATGGAGGAACGGCTCCACAGATTGTTTCCCGACATCTGCAAGAAAAAGGGGTCGCTCCCAAAGTATATCTATGTTGACTAGAGTGCAGTTTTTCTTGGTTGTTCTTTTGCTGTAGTCATGGAAAAATCTCCTCTTCATTCTCATCGTACCTTCTATCTTATTTTTCGCAAGTTTATTCTGATATCAATGGCTTCCAGGTTTGCGAGCAACGGGGACTTAACCCTTTTAATGACCCCGGAGACGTCTGCGCTCGCGGCTGCGGCAATGCCGTCGAGCTCTATCGCGAATGTCGGAGTGGGTAAAAAGAGAAGCCGGAGCCATGACACGGAAAAGGGCGATACGAACAGGCAAAAGGCTGCGAAGATGGCGCACCCGAAGAACAGCTCGTCTTCATCGTCTTCGTCGTCATCAAGCAGTGGGTCATCTGCGGGAAGTAATAATGCGAATTTGCAGGCGGACGCGGCCCCACCGGGCACTGCATCTTCAACTGGTGCGGCTGCGGGAAGTAATAATGCGAATTTGCAGGCGGACGCGGCCCCACCGGGCACTGCGTCTTCAACTGGTGCGGCTGCGGGAAGTAATAATGCGAATTTGCAGGCGGAAGCGGCCCCACCGGGCACTGCATCTTCAACTGGTGCGGCTGCGGGA